AGGAGTATGTTTATTGGGAATTTTAATGCCTGTTTATTGGGAATATGGAAGAATTACCCGAAAGAATCAACACTTGGGAGGAGCCGCGAAGGATGATATCACAATAATAATGCCATTCCAATAATCCTAGCAATGTGTCATGACTACCATTACCACAGCAGCTGATATCTCCTGAGTGTTTACTCTGTGCTAGGCAGCATGCTGAGCCCTGTGCACAACTCACCTCCTACTGTCCTCACACTCATTTCACAGGTAAGGAAACTGAGGCTTAGGAAAGTGAAGAAATCTAGGCAGCATCAGAATCCAGGTTAGAATCCAAGTTTGTGTGTCTACAAAGACTGCCACCCTCTACTCGGCACATTCCAGCAAGGGCCTAAGCTCAGGCACAGGGCGAGACAGTACCAGGCTTCGGATGACCATCTGGAGAAGGTGCCTGCAGAGGTGGCTGCAGCCGGGGCACGCTGAGCCTGGAGTGCCCGCACCACGTACCTGTGCTTATTAATAGGCACGTCGAGCCTGGGGAGGTTTTTGAGCAGAGGAGTGGCAAACCTGGACCTGAGCTGTCACATCAGCGGGTAAAATGGAGTGGGCTGAGAGGGTGGACGTTCAGAGGCCATCACCATGGTCTGAGAGACTGCAGCTCTTTGGGGAGGAGAGAGGGCGTGTGGGAATGTGCGAGCCCCTGCCTCCCTGTCGGGTGTGGGAGATTATGTATGTGTGAGGAAGGGAAAGTGTGTGTGAGCATAAGTGTACCCGTGATTGCATAGAGGGGCTCTTCTTATGGAGGAAGAAGGTCGCAGAGCCTCCTGGTAGGAGGTGGACGTGAGGTGGGCAGTGGGAGAGAAGATGGAACAGGATAAGCCAGTTGATCCACCTGAGCAGGAGGGCTCCAGCGAAGGAGAAACCTCAGAAGCCCACAGGGCCTGCCTGACCTACGAGGGGAACCTTTATTAAAAGGGTGAATGGGACAGTTTGAAACCTTAGCCTCTGGTCTCTCAGTACGGGCCTGGCTTTGTCCTCCAGCTGCTTGGGGGTCACTGTCATTCTAACTACATCCCTTCATCCTTGGCCCTCTCTGCCCACATCACATATTCTGAGCTGGAGCAGCCCTATTCCCATGGCCCCAGCCTGGTCCGTGGGGCCCCAGCCCCTTCCCAGGCTGTGTGCTCCCTCCCACATCTTTGTAACAAACATGTTCCTGTGCAGCCTCCAAACTGGCTTCATCCCTTCCCAGGTCAGGGCCTCTCCCTCCCCCGATTCTGGAGCAGAGATGATGCTGCCAAATTGGTTCCATGCTTTTGTTTCGGCCAGAGATGTCCTGCCTCTCATCAGGGACAGTGTCAGAGCACTGTGTTCCCGACCGGCCCCTCTCATTGCAACTCTCCAGCTGGCCAGGGGTTCTGCCTGGAGAAGATTTCTTGGATCACCAAAATGACAGCCCTGTCCTCTCCAGAGAATAACTATTTAAAGAACCCACCCAGTGTGCAGCCTGGTAGAAAAGGCCAGGTAGACCACAGCGTCCAGGAGGAGCCAGCTCCCTTGGCCCTAAAGAAAAAAATTTGGTTTCAGCTTCTTGGTCACACTGGGTGAAAAGGGGGTTTTCTCCAGGGTAGCCTGAGCCCAGCCCCTTCCTGCTCAGCTCAGCTGCAGCCTTGTATTGTGAAATGAGTACTATTTGGTACCTGGAGAGAAAACGGATCTCTTTCAAGACTGTATAATCCACACAAATTTAGAGGAAGACATGCCTTGGAAATCATGAATCTAAACCCCACTATTGACAGATGCAGAAACACAGGTCTAAAATCCAAAAGGCTTTCAGTTGCTGAAGAGCAGTCTAAGCCATTTCTGGATTTCACTAGAAGCCCAGTTTGCATCCAAAGGGGTATTTGTGCAATGAATGCATTTGCCTGTGAGTAGCGTGGAAGCTCAGGGGCAGAGCTGGGGCTGGAACCCGGCCTTTCCACTTCAGGCTCCCTGCCTCCTTCAAGCTGTGCCTTTCATGACTGGTTTGCTTCCTCCAGGGTGCTCAGAAGGTGATTTGTTCGAAGGTGAGTCTTGGGGGGCTGCCTGGCACAGTCTGCCATCCAGATGGCAGCTGACTAAGTCCCACAAGGTTGGCAGGAAGAGAGGAGGTGCTCTTATTTAGGGGAGATCTTGGTGGGCTGACTCCCCCAAGGCTGTCGGGGAATTTCCAGGGTCTAGGAACTGCCCCTTCTCCCTGCTCTCCTTGCCACACCTTCCAGCTTCACCTTCCAAGAAAACGCAGTGAGGCAGGCTCCCCAGTTGTCCCCGCCCACTAGGGGACCCTCACTTTGGAAGGGCGTCCCAGTCACCAGCTGACCAAAGGCTCTCCCTCCAAAGTGTTCCATCGACCCACCATCTCTGATGGTGACTGAGAAAAGAAAGCAAGGGATGCAGGACAGGCAGTGTGAAGACCGAAATCCTGGCTGAGGAGTTAGAAGGCCTCAGCTGCTACTGGCCATGTGACCGCTGAGCCTCAGTTTCCCCCACTGTGTTCCAACTGGATGCTCCCTCAAGGCCTCTTCCAGCTCTGAGAAACCTAGGATTCCAATGTCAGGGACTGTGTCTCCCTCCTCACCTTCATGTCCCCAGCAATTAATACACAGTAGACACTTAAAACAGTTCCTTGAATGATTGAATGAAATGGGTCGTCAGGTCAGTCTGAAGATCCAATGGAAGCCAGGAAGCAAATTCTTCCCCCAGGAGCCTACCTTCCAACAACTGTAGAAGCCACACATCTTGGGAGAACCCTGGCAAGCCTAGAGCCCTTTGCACATCCGCTTCCTCTCCTAGATGCACAGATTTGGTTGGAGGAGCCAAGCGGGAAGCAGGAAAACGTGCCAGGAAGAGAGGGTGGCCTGAACCCCAGGCAACGGTGGGTAGCCCTAACTTTCACTTTATTGACTCCTGTGGCCCCTCTCCTTGCCTCTTTCTGGTTTCCCTCCCCTTCCTACCTCCCTGGTCTGGCCTCCTCAGCTTTCCTGGAACAGTAACCACTTTTCCTTCTCTCCTTTGTGGGGGCTCAGAGCCTCTGATGGTCCCAGCGCTGGCCTGATCCTCTGCTGGTGAGGATGGCTCCCAGAGCCTCAGGCTTTCTCTGGGTCAGGGAAGAGAGCAGCGGCAGTGAAGAGATTGAAATTCTGGTTGGTGCCCAGCCTGGCTCTCGTTAACACCTGGAGCTCCAGACTAGGGCTTTGAGGAGGAGGGAAAAGGGCTGCGCCCAATCTTTATCCAACCTTCCCTTCCAGGTTTAGGGAAGGGGCTCCTCTTTTGAGGGAATCTGGCAGTGCCTTTTCCTCCATCTTCTTCTGCAGGGTTCCTAGGGAGATATTAGGGTTTTCCTTCTGGGCTTCCTGAGCCTCCACATCTTCCCCTCTACACCCCTAGGGAGGTGGCTGGATAAGGAAGGAAACTGCCCTCTCTCTCCCCTGCCGCAGCCCAGCCTGAGACTTATGTAGACGTAGTGTGTGTGTGTGTGTGTGTGTGTGTGTGTGTGTGTGCGTGCATGCACAGTGCAAGGGTAGGGTGTCAGTGTAGCATTGGAGGTGGTGTGTGGTGGTGCGGTATATATGCAGTGTGTTTGGTGTATATGTGTGTATAGGTATGATGTATGTGTATGTGTGGTGTGAGTGTGAGGGTGTGTTGATTTCGTAGTGTGGTATATGTCTGTATGTGTTTGTGGTGTTGGTGATGTGCAGTGTGTGTGAAGTGGGTGGTGTGAGTAAGGGGCCACTGCAATTGGGTGTAGGAGCCAGATATCTAGGTCTCCTAGCCAGGGATAACCAGTATCTAGGCAACCATATTGGGGGGAGGGGAGGAGATATGGAGGTGAGGAATGGGCAGGAGAAAGAGGGAGGCTGAGAAATGGAGGAGTTTCCATAGCAACCACCAGGCAAGTCACGTGCAAAAGGCTAAGTTGCGGACATAGACATACACATCCGTAATATGAGGGTGGCTGGCTCCCCAGTGGGGGCTCCTTTCAGAGAGGGCCTAAGATGCCCACTGATCCATATTCAAAGCTGGAAATCCTAGCCCAGCCAGAGAGCACGAAGCCACGGAGACAAAGGAAGTGGAGGCAGAGGGCACACTGGTGGGGAGAAACCTCCAGTAGCCACGGTCCCGTGAGCGTGCAGGCTTGCAGCAGGTGACGAGGCAGGCCCATGTTTCCAGCGAGGCTGCTCCCAGCTCCCACCCTCGGGTGCCTCCTCTACCAGCCACCACTTGTAAGAGCCAGAAGCCAGCGCTGGGAGCCCCAGGCTGCACACCCAACTCTCCACGGAAGCCCGGGAGACACAATAGCGGAGGCTTTGCCAGGGCCAGCCCTGCTGGGGAAAGGGGGCAATGGGGGACCCCAGGGCCCCCCGGAAAGGAAACAGGATTGGATGCATAGACAAGAAGGAGGGGGAAAAAACGATGCACTCTCATGAATCCTCGAGCTCTAGAATCCTTCTTTCCCTGCGCCCCCATCCAGTGCCCACCGCCCAGCCCCACCTTCCCCAAGCACCAAACCAGCAAGTTCCATTTTGTGTCGCTCATGTGTCCACACTCACACCCAGCCACACGCTCTCGTCCGTAATTCCCCACGCTCCCCCAACTGTCCACAGCTTCCAAGTAACAAAGGGAAAACTCCTCATGGATAAAAGGGTGGGCGCAGCCCTTTCCCCTTCTCCTGAAAACCCTGACCCCAAGCTCAAGGCAGTATCGAGAGCAATTCCCAGCCACCAGCGTCACCCCCAGCGCCACAGCCTGCCTCTCCTAGAGGCTGCTCTCTCTTCCGACGCCGATCTCCTTGTTTACATCCCCAGCCCGGTTTCCCGCTGCCCAGGCGGGGACCGCGGCGCTGCTGACCGCGGAGGTCCGCACACACCCACTGAACAAACGAAACCCTGCGCTCCCGGCGCTCCAGAGATCGGTCCCCAGTGAGCCTCGCTCCTCCTCGAAAAAAGGAGCCAACTTTACCCACCTCCCCAGCCGCCTACCTGCACAGCCGGTCCCCTCTGAGACTCCCAGGAGGACCCGCCGAGTCCCGAGGAACCTGGGAGTGGCGGGGCTGGGGGCAGGGCGGTGGGTGAGGCTTGAGCTGCTTTCCCGCCTCCCCTCCTCCTAGGAGTCGGGCGGGCCGGGAGGCGCGTCCTGCGGGGGCGGGGGCGGGGGGCTCGCTCGGGGCGGGGCGCGGGGACAGCCCACTCCGTGCTGCCGTCCGCAGGCTTCTGGGTAGCGGCCGCGCGCAAACCCCTTCTCCTCCTCTCCCTGCCCGTCCTCCCGCTCCGTGCTTGCGCGCGTCCTCTGCTCCCCTCTCCTCTCGAGGGGCGGAGAGATTTTTCCAAAGGGCAGTCAAGCTCCGAGAAGCAACAGGAGACCGCTGCCGAGGGGGCGTGCAAGCGCCGGAGCAGATTGCCATCAGCTGTTGCTTTTCGGTTTCCCTCTGGTTAGGGTGGGAAGGGAGCAAGACAGACACAATGACAGACCTGGTGTCTCTCTGCAATAGTAAACTCCGAGGAACGGAAAAATAGGAGAAAATAACCCAGCACCAGACACAGCAGCCCACGTTAATTGGGAACTTTGGTAATTAAGGGGAATGTGCACCAAAAGCATGAATGGCTGTGTCGTGGGCGCAGGAGCCAGCTCCAGTTGTAGTTGTCATTTTCAGCTAGAGTCAGGTGGGGAGCTGGGGGGATGGCCCTCACCTGAACCATAGATCTGCTGCCATGAACCCCCTTTTCAAGCCCCATCCAACTCTGGCCCTGCCAGGAGCAGTACCACCCCATCGGCAGCCCAGTCCCCAAGAGTCAAAATTCACAATGACGAACTTTGAATGTGAAGATGTAAATCCTGGCTCGGCAACCCTGCCTGTGACGCGGCTTGGAGCACATCTCTGCAATCAGCTCCTGAGTCTATTTCCTCACGTGGGAACGTGGTGATTAGAAGACTGACCTCATGGGAGGCTTAGCTCATAGCGAGTGCTCTAGAAATTGGCTCTTACTATTGGGGCAGAGCTTGTAGGAAGGGACAGTGGCCAGGTACCGGTGGAAACCAAAGAAACACAAGTGTCAGTAGCCAGGAGCCATGCTGAGATGGAGGCTGTCCAGCCTCAGTCAAGGTGTGTGTATGGCCGGGCGGGGTGGAGGGGTGGCTACTGAGAAAGGCTGTGATTGTCCAAACCTAGGTAGGGCCACGGAGAACTTCCTTACAAACCTCAAGCCAGGGATGATGGGTACTGCTAGGAAGAAACCCAGCCCTGCCTTTGCTGCCCCCAGTTCTAGGTCTGTTTCCTCATTTGTGAAATTAGGGAGATGGACTAGAGATCCAGCTCTGCCCTGGATGATTGAACTATTTTAATAAATAGTCAGGTCTCAAAACCCCAAGGCAGGAAATATACATGAACTCAAGAAGGCTTTGGAACCAGTAAAGGAACCATAAATAGCTAATAAGAAAGAGTACCCAAAGAGCATCCCCTCAGGGAGACTCCTGGGGGGACAGTTCTGACCCCTTAATCATGGGACTTGGCTGCATGGATGCCACTCTGGCCCAGTCCTGAAGTCTTTGGGGTTCCTGTGAATGCTAAAGCTCCTTCTCCAAAGCCAGACTCAAATCTTGCCCATTTGCATGCCTAACCCTTCCGTTCCTGTCTTTTCCTCTATAAACTGAGGACAGCATTACGACTGTCCTTTTCCCTTTTCATGTGTTCTAGGTGGCAGGTTTAAAACCACACCCTGGCCGGGCGCGATGGCTCATGCCTGTAATCCCAGCACTTTGGGAGGCCGAGGCGGGTGGATCACGAGGTCAGGAGATCAAGACCATCCTGGCTAACACGGTGAAACCTCGTCTCTACTAAAAATACAAAAAATTAGCCGGGCGTGATAGCGGGCGCCTGTAGTCCCAGCTACTTGGGAGGCTGAGGCGGGAGAATAGCGTGAACCCAGGAGGCGGAGCTGGCAGTGAAACTAGATCGAGATCGCGCCACTGCACTCCAGCCTGGGCGACAGAGCAAGACACCATCTCAAAAAAGAAAAAAACAAAAAAAACACACACACATCCCTTTCTAGGCCCATGTCCTTAGGCAGGTACATTCATCCCTCCAAATGACCTTGAATCCTGCCTTTTGGCCACCTCTCTGTGTTGCTTTTTAGAGCACCTACTAGTGATGACACGTCAAGCCCAGGCTTTGCAAGCCTATTTGGGGAAGGATAGTTCAGAACTCCAAAGCAAAGGCACCTTTTGGTTCAGTCCCATTTCCAGCCAGAGAGTTCCGAAGTGTTTGGCCCAGTGACTTCCCAGCTCCCCCTACCTAATGCTGACCAGCCCAGGCTGCAGAGGGATAACAGGAGTTAAATGTGCATGAGAAACTGCCATGGCTTGACTCTCAAATAGTGCTTCTTCACGTTCCATCCAGGGGTACTGCTGGAAGAATTTGGGGTGTTACAGCTACAAAGCAGCACACAAGCTTGTTCTAGGGTGAGTCACATCTCCCTTCTAGCAGGAAAAGAAACACATCTATCCCCTGTGAAAAATGTGGGCATTCATAAAAAGAGGTCACCAGCTGCTCCATTCTTTCAACCATTTATGGACGGGAGGAGCTACTCTTCACTGAGACCTGGGCCAAGATCTGGGGATATACTGTGGAGAGGAAAGGTGTGGTCCCTGGGTGAGATAGAGAGTTAGCAAATGTTCCCATGAATAAACGTATAATTAAAGCATAGTTCAGAGCCCTGAAGATATAGCCCTTGAGAAAGGTCAGGAGGTGTTAAGAAGATGAGGTAAAGAGCCAAGAATTGGGATGTCAGGGTGGGAAGATGATTCTGCCTCTGGAACAGAAGGTATGTGCAAAAGCCCTGAGGCAGGAGGGGTATGGTATGGAAGGAGCCAGGGTGGGACTGGCCCAACAATTCCTGGTGATTCCAGCTTTTATATCCTGGGAAGCCGCTGATGGGCATCAAGAAAACTGTTCTGAGCAAGAATTGGTGAGAGGCTGGTTTGGGATGTTCCTGGTGGACCCTGCAAGTCAGGGTTCAGGGGGCTGTTGGGGGGCAGCACTAACATGAAGCTGAGAAATAAGACTAATCCCCACTAAAGAATCCTGCTTCTTTACAAGTCCAAGGAGCAAAGAGAGAGCCAGGGCAGGGCCGCACAGCCATGGAGAAAGTAGGATAAGAAAGGATGGAAACCATTCCTGAAACACTCTCCATCCCCCGGAACTGGAACCATGGGAAGACCTGGAGTTGGAGAGGATGGTGTAACTGCTGGGAGCATCAGGGACTGCTCTATGCTTTGAAGCTTGCTCTGGGCTAAGTAACTCACAACTGGGCAGCTAAAATCCCATCTGGAGAGCACTTGCCCCGGTCCCCTTGTATTGTGGCAAAATAACCCTTCCGCATGTCAGTGCCCCGGTCACACAGCCACAGACAGGTCACAGAGTGACCGCCTGTGTCCTGGTCACACAGGACACGGAGGGCCCAAAGGGGAAATTTAAGGGGAGAGACCAGGAGTCTTAGAAGAGACCTCGTCCCTCCTGGCAGATATCCCTTCTAGATAGACACAGAAGGCAATTGGGGCGCCACTTCTTCCTGGGGTGGGGCTGCAGAAGTGAGCCGATCTTGCCCACTGACTGCTACTTTGTGTCCATGCATACCCACTTGGCTTTGCACAGGTGTGAATGTGTGTCCTCCCCACTCAGCCAAATGCCAAGCCCCCAACCCCTAGGACAGAACTGTTTCCTAGCTCCTCAGCTGAAACAGCTCTGCTCACTTCCAAACCACTCCTTGATTCTGGGTCCCTTCCTCTGTCCCCAACCTTTCTTTGTCAAACTCCTCCAGCCTATCCCTCAAGCAGTTGTATTGAGTCCTCGGTCATTTTATGCAGTTTCTGGACAATCTAAATCCACAATCGTTTAGTGGGTTTTACCACCCACTTAGGCTTGATGAGTCCACAATCTCCAGGCCAGTCCTCTCCCCAGGAGACCCAAGCAAGTAATCCCAGGGAGTCAGCACCGCCCACTCCCAATCCATCCTCCCAATCCACTCCCAATCCATCCTCGAAATCCACTCCCAATCCATTCTCCCAGTCCACTCCCTATCCATCCTCCCAGTCCACTCCCTATCCATCCTCCCAGTCCACTCCCTATCCATCCTCCCAGTCCACTCCCTATCCATCCTCCCAGTCCACTCCCTATCCATCCTCCCAGTCCACTCCCTATCCATCCTCCCAGTCCACTCCCTATCCATCCTCCCAGTCCACTCCCTATCCATCCTCCCAGTCCACTCCCTATCCATCCTCCCAGTCCACTCCCTATCCATCCTCCCAGTCCACTCCCTATCCATCCTCCCAGTCCACTCCCTATCCATCCTCTCACATCTTGAAGCTGTTCCCTCTCATGTCTTCCTTGTATTTATGAAAGGCACTGCCCCCAATCCAGTTACCCTGCAAAACACATGCCACGCTCAGACCTCTCCCCCAGTGCCTCCTTTCCTGCCCACCACTCCTGTTCTAGGTCAGGTCTCTGACACCAGATTCCCACTGGTGACTCTGCTGCAGTCCCCCTACCTCTAGGTAGAGTTATCTTCCACAATACAAATGTGATTCAAAACTTCAGTGGCTCCCTATTTTCTACAAGTTAAAGTCAAAATTCTTTTTTTTTTTTTTTTTTTTGAGATAGAGTCTCACTCTGTCGCCCAGGCTGGAGTGCAGTGGTGCAATCTCGGCTCACTGCAACCTCCGCCTCCCGGGCTCACGCCATTCTCCTGCATCAGCCTCTCGAGCAGCTGGGACTACAGGCACCTGCCACCACGCCCGGCTAATTTGTTTGTATTTTTAGTAGAGACGGGGTTTCACTGTGTTCACCAGGATGGTCTCAATCTCCTGACCTCGTGATCCGCCCGCCTCGGCCTCCCAAAGTGCTGGGATTACAGGCATGAGCCACCGCGCCCGGCCAAAGTCAAAATTCTTAACACGATATTCAGTCTTTACAACCTGACACCCACCTGCCTCTCCTGCTTCATCTCGCGACCCACTCCCTGCCCTATTTCCCCCATCACCCTCGTCACTCCAATCCTTGTAAATGCCGTGTCCCAGACCAAAAGAGCCATGCAGTTATCAAAATATGCTGCCTGCTTCCTACCCCCAAAGCTTTGTTTACATAGTTTTCTCTGCTTGAAACATCCTCTGCCTCTACATCCTCTGCTTATTTTCTCTACTTACAAGAATTCTACCTACGCTGCAAAGCTAAGTTCAAATATTACCTTATTAAAAATGAAAGCTGTCTTATCCATGCTGTAATTAACAGCATTGTGTCTCTACGTCTATAATTGCACTTATCATAGCCTGAACTTTGCTATGTTTACTTGCATGTGTCTGCTGCCCTAATAGAATGAGAACTCCTAAAGGTCAGACCTAGCCTCTCACTCCACTTATAGACCCCACTATCGTGTGCGGTGACCCATTTATAACTTGTTGAATTTAAGTGAATTGTAGTTGTTGACTTGAAGGACCCTGCCTGGTCTTGCTCCAACCAACTTCTCCACATTAATTTTGATCTCCAGCCAGCAACCTACCGGCTTAACCAAAGGTCTT